ACGATAAACCATCCCAACGTGCTCAACCACATAACAGAACACGCTGGAACGAAACCCACCCGATAACATCGATAACTACTGGTCATTCCTTAAGAATGCTCTGCAGTTTTTCCTGTCTAACACTCTGGATATATGCCGTCTCTACGTCTTCATGACGCATGCCGATCAGCCCGTCGGCAGCAAATTTAGCAAAACACGACTCCTAACCAAACCAATTTTCGAGATTATAGGGGTCACGACTTATGACACTCTGGGGGAGGGGAGTAATAGAAAAAACTACTGGGTATTATTCACCAGTGACCGGGGAAAATGTGGTCAGTAAAGACAGCTGAGGCTTGAGTCACCTCAAACCCAGTAGCAACGACCAGTGTAGCGCGGTTAAAAGTGATTGTTTAAATGAACGGATAAAATGATAACACCTACCAGTACGGGAGTTATTTTGGTTTAAAATAGATGGCAGAAGTGAAGGCAGGCCTGGCGATGAACTTTAGCACTCTGTGCTGACTGGAAGTTGAAGGGTGTGTTCCGGTATCGAACGAATAGCGATTGCGCTTGCCCCAGTGTTGGATGAACTGGGTAAGCGTAGAACTGAGGCCGCTTTCAAACCAAAATGGGCTTCGCCAATAGTCTGTTCAGAATTCTTCTCCATAACTGTCGACTGGAATACAGTTGGCATATAATCATCGCCACCAGGATGTTGCCTACTGTATCCACCAGCAGTAGCCACAGTGGAATGAAAAATGAACGGACTAAAATGAATGAAGATTAAAGGCATTTTAATTAATTTAACATACTTCTCATCTGAATTGCTGACTAAGATGGGAGCTTGTGGACCCGACGTAACAGTGGAATGGGATTTAGTACGCAGTACTTGCATCGGACGAACAGGAGACTTCCGACGACTACCACCACAATTTGATAAAGACCCTGAAATTAAGTTTCCGTTATCTGGAGAATATGACTGCAGAAGTTTCATTTACCCGACTGCCCAGCTAAAAGTGAAAGTTCTGGTGCAAGCAGCTCTTCCTCCTCTAGTTCTTCGTGTGGTGTTTGATTTTGTTCCTCAGATGGCGCACGGGAGCCAGGATATTGGATGTACTCATCCTCCGTGTGCTCGAACTCATCGAACTCTTGTCTTCGCCTGAATTGATCTGCAGTCGGTTCGGTACAAAAATCCATTACGTCCTGAGGATGTGGTTCGGCGTCTGAGGAGTGACCAGGAGAAAGCAGCGATCCGTGATGGAAAGCATTTGATCCTAAAACAAAGAAAATATGAGGAAACATAGATAATACAATCGTGCCTCTTTGTCTAATATGACTGTACGTAAAACGTTTCTAAATATTTTAATTGGCTGAACAATTTGTTTCTCAAACAGTCACCGTCATGGATAATAGCCATCCATTCCGAGATGAAACACAAAAACTTATCACGCTATGAACTATTATTCCTTCAAACGTGATTATCATTTTCTATACTAACTCAATTAATTAGTGGTCTGTCTTCTACCCTCACCCGCTTGTTTTCCACTTCAAGGTCCAAGAAAACTCATCTGCTCAGGATATACGTATGTACGTATAATGGTCCGTAACATCCCCTTAGGCCGTTACTGAATAACGCAAGCGGTGTACCATTGCATAAATAGCATAGGTTGAAGCCTTGCCAAATCCGGAACTTTGGGGCCTTTAAAGTGAGGACTCCCATTCAGATGAATCAACAAGCCTGTCTTGGGCGTACAACAGATCTGATAGCGTCCGGTGTTTGTCACGTATCAGAATCCTAGTCTACTCCTAGACTACTTCTCCGTGCTCTTTCCGCACGTGCCGGGCAAGGCTGGAAGAAGCGGCGTGGCGGTCAGACGATGACATGATGTAGAGGTATGAAGAAGCTGGCTTCAGCTTTGGCTTCGGCTGGTGAAGCCCGCCTTCCCGATTGGGGCCCAAGGGATGAGGATTGTCGTTGGTTAGAGATGCTAAGAGATATGGCCCAGAATCGAAGTCAGTGGCGCGAATGCTGTACGGTCTGCCTGTCGAAATCCCGTGCCACGTAAAAAAAACAGCAAACAACACAAAAGATGACAAAAAGTGTAACACCATTTTGTTATCCCATTTATCTACCATATTCCCGTGTTTGACTGTCTCCATCTTTCCACTTTTCTCTGTAACCCAATCC